TTCCTGTTGTCTTTGCTGGAGCTCCACCATCTCTCAAAGTAATTGTTGCTGCTCTCTTTGTTGGTTGGTCATCTGCTGCAGTAACTGCATTTGCTGTTGTTGATGCTGGCTGTGAGTCTCGGCCAGCCATTCGAGTAATTTATTTGTCTCCATCAGGCTCTGGTCACACCTCTTTGCTCTCATTGAAAAAGACAACAAACAAACAAAAAACAAAGCGACAAAATAAAATCCAAAAAGGGTAGCCCCCACCACAACTCTTTATCTCTAGCTTAATTCTCTCTCTCTTTTTTTTTTTCAATTTTATTCTATTATACTATATTAAACTGTGCCCACATTCTCCACCAGTGTGGCAGGGCAGGTTCTACCCAGACCCCCAGTCTGGCTCTTAATAGTTCCTGCGCTGCCTTTTAGTCTGGCTTTTTCCCTCTTCAAGGTTCAAATCTTTCTGGTCATTTAAAGTTCAAATTTATGCTCAGTCGCCTCGCTTCAGAACTGCCATTCGTCATGGCCTGAGGTTGTTACATTGGCCCGCTGGCTCCTTGGCGTTCCTCGCCGCTGTACCTGCTGTGACGGGGGGAAAGGAGGATAAGAGTGCGACCAACTGCCCATGCCAAGATCCTCTCCCCCTCTCCCTCTGGGAGTCGGCCCTCTTTTAAATCCCCTACCACCAGGCCTTGGCTCAGCGCTCGGGGATGACATCACCCCTGCAACTCCCCCTCCTCACCTCCCTCCTTGCCTTTCTCCCCAGCATCCCGCTCCGCCGACTCGTGCGGCCGGATGCCTCCTGCTGTGATACATCCCTCCCCAGGGTCCTAAAGCGGCCCCATGTGGGGTCACTAACGCGCAAGCCCGCAGTGGCCGGAGGCTGTCGGGCGAATGCTTCTCCTGGTCTGAGCCCCAAGTGCAGGGGGGTGCGTCTTTCCGGGCGGAGGTAGGCGACCCCCTCTTACAGACCCAGTGACTGGATTTGTATTGTGGTTAAGCCCTAGAAACTCCTCTTGTTGGGTACTTTGCAAACAAAAAGAGTCAAACAACTGAGCAGAGGGCTTTCTGCATGGAACCACTATAGTTCAATAGTGAATGTACAGAACTGGCCATTAAGAGACCTGCGTTTCAGTTGTGGTTAATTGATGTGTGGTTTCACCGACTTACTCTGTGACTATAATCAGTCACAGTTTTTAGCTGAATTCATAAGGCAGTTTGTGGTGAACTATATGTTTGTACTGATAATAAAAGATACGTCTACACTTGCTCCCTAGTTCGAGCTAGGGATGCAAATGTAGGCGACCGAAATTGCTAATGAAGCGGGAATTTAAATACTCCACACTTCATTAACATGATCTCTCCGGCACGTTACTCCACTCAACAGCTGATTTGAACCAGGAAGCACGTGCTGGGACACGTTAGTTCGAACCAAACCCCTTGGTTCAAACTAATGTTTCTCCTCATTTTTTCAAACTAACGTTACTCCTCATTAGCTGGTGCAAGTGTAGACGTACTGTGGCAGGGGCAGTCTCTCTCCTGAGTCCCCGACCACTGTTCTGTCCACTGTCCCACACTTTGAGGGCTGCAGCAGCACCCTCGCCTGCAGTTTTTGACCCTGGGCCTTCCTGGCCCTTAGCATAAAGCATGTTGTATGGGGCTGAAGCCCTGGGCCAGTCACGGCTGACCAGAAAGCCCCCTTTTTTGCCCTGAAGGGTGGGGGTAAGGGAGCCCTCCAACACCTCCTGCTCAACTCCTCACCTCCCCCTGTAGCCTTTAGCAGGGATGGTGGTTCCTCCTGCTCCTCTACTCTGAGTCTCCTTTACACTGGGTTGTTTTCCTCCTCTCCATGCTCCTTCTCTCCCCCTTTTCCTCTCCCTCAGGGAGGGTTTGGTGGCAGCCCCAACCAGCTTCACCTGGCCCTTAATTGATTTGAATCCACCCTTTCTCAGCTGCCCCTAATTAGCCAGGATTGTTGCTGTTCCCTCTGCTAGAGCAGCCTTTCTCCCCTTCCCCCAAGTCCTTTAACCTGCTCTGTCACAGTACCCAAAGTCATTAGTGATAATAAAGGCTATCACTTTTCTAACAGTAGTGTTAGAAGCCTTTTACAGCTGATGCCTGTAATTCTTTAAATACATATATTAGCATGAAAGTCTATGCACAATATCATGCGCCTGAAAATGAAATAAACATGTGTTTTCATCACTGGGAATAAAGTACAATTATATCAATGGTGGCATATGCTTTGGTAATCTAGTAATATTAATTTGTACACGTTTAGAATATAAAAGCCAATTAGAAATTTAGAAAATGACTTGTTCGTGTATGATATATTGGAAGCCTATAAAGAGTTTATTATAAAGTGCACACAAATATCACGGTATAAGTGGATGTCTACCATTTTTCTTAGATGAAATAAACATAATAGGCTGATATACAAATTAAGTATGCAGTTGTATCCACCAGAACAATACACATAAATGAAATTTATACAATGCAAGACCATCTTTCAAATTTACTGCCATTTAACTAATTTCATTAGAACTGGAACCTGTGGCTAGACACTCCGGGTATGCCTACACTACAGCACTAATTCGAACTAACGCATCTAGACCTAAAAACTAGTTCGAATTAGCATTTTGCTAATTCGAACTAGCATGTCCACATTGAGTGGACCCTGAACCGGGGTTAAGGGTGGCCGGAAGCAATGCCAGCAGGGCATCAGATTAGGACTTAGAGCGTGGAGCTGCTGTCTCAGGCTAGCCGAGGGCTGTGCTTAAAGGGACCCGACCCCCACCCTGGACAGTTCTCAGGGGTTCCCTGCTCACTTGTCTAACTCGATGAGGGACAGCAAAGCAGTCCTGGCTTGGAGTGCCCTGAGAGCCCACACTCGGCACATCACAGCACTCGGCCATCAGCCCGGCTGCACTTGCCGCAGGCTGCCATCTGGGGAGGGGTGTCAATCAGGGGACTGCAGGAGAGCTTCCACCCCGAGGAGCCCACAGAGCCAGCCCAGTCCTCCCCATCGGGGGCTCGTACACCATTACTCCCTCACCTCCTTCCACTTACCCCTCCCTAGCCCCCCTTCCTGATGTACAAAATAAAGGACACGTGTGTTCAAAAATAGAAACTCTCTTTATTTAACTAAACTCGGGAAGACTGGAAAAAGGAGGTGGGAGAGGGGAAGAGAGAGGGTGGGAGAGGGGAGGGCAACTAAAATGATCAGGGGTTTGGAACAGGTCCCATATGAAGACTGGGACTTCTCAGCTTAGAAAAGAGGAGACGGAGGGGGGA